ATCCCCCTCCCCACCTGCCAGTGTTTGGTGACTGCATTCCAGACGCCGATCTTGCCGGTGTGGCTGGTGGCAATCAGTTGGTTGCCAACGAAGAAGAGCGCTTCCAACGGGACGCCCAAATGGAAGACGCCTGGAAGAGGCACCAAAACCTCATCACAAAACCCCCCCCTCTCCCACCCAGGTGCCCCCCACCCACCCACCCACCCACCGATCTCGTTGCCGTTGCCATCGGCTCGTAGAGCCCAGAGGATGATTTCGCTGCAGGATGCGGCCGCCACCATTTTGTCGTGGTCACCCAAAGGACCCCCCAAAACTTTGGCGTTTAGGGCCACGCGTTCGATCTGCCAATCCAAGCGAGGGCTGGAGAAGGTTTGCTGCCAGCCTGAGGTCTCCTTCAACCTGGGTTGAAGGGGAAGGGGACAATGTTGAGGGGGTGACGCCGGGGGGGACGACAGCATCATCGTTGGGGGTGATGTTGGTCCACCCCCCAATGCATCCTTCCTTCTAAATTGGAGAGGCGTGGGTGAGTTTGAAGGATGGGTAAGGAATTGGCTGGATGGATGGATGTAATTAATTGCAATTAATGGTTGTGGGTCAGGGTGGATGGGGGGGGAAATCATTGCTAAGGGGTGACGCTCGAGGGTTGGTCGTGGGCTGTGCAGAGGGACCTGGTCCCTATGGGCCCCTATGGATCCCTATGGCACCCTATGGGTTCTCTGAGCACCCTCTGGGTCACTATGGCACCCTATGGGTTCTCTGAGCACCCTATGGGCCCCTATGGGCTCTCTGAGCACCCTATGGGTCCCTATGGCACCCTATGGGCTCTCTGAGCACCCTATGGCACCCTATGGGCCCCTATGGCACCCTATGGGTTCTCTGAGCACCCTATGGGCCCCTATGGCACCCTATGGGTTCTCTGAGCATCCTATGGGCCCCTATGGCACCCTATGCGTACTCTGAGCACCCTATGGATGCCTATGGCACCCTATGGGTTCTCTGAGCAACCTATGGGTCCCTATGGCACCCTATGGGCACCTATGGGTTCTCTGAGCACCCTATGGGCCCCTATGGCACCCTATGGGTTCTCTGAGCATCCTATGGATCCCTATGGCACCCTATGGGTACTCTGAGCACCCTATGGGCCCCTATGGCACCCTATGGGCCCCTATGGCACCCTATGGGTTCTCTGAGCACCCTATGGGCCCCTATGGCACCCTATGGGTTCTCGGAGCATCCTATGGGCCCCTATGGCACCCTATGGGTTCTCTGAGCACCCTATGGGTCCCTATGGGTTCTCTGAGCACCCTATAGGCCCCTATGGCACCCTCTGGGTCACTATGGCACCCTATGGGTTCTCTGAGCACCCTATGGCACCCTATAGGCCCCTATTGCCCCCTATGGGCCCCTATGGCACCCTATGGGTTCTCTGAGCACCCTATGGGCCCCTATGGCACCTAATGGCCCCTATGGCACCCTATGGGTTCTCTGAGCACCCTATGGGCCCCTATGGCACCC